AAAGAATTAAATAAAGCTCTCTAATTAGTCGAGGCCTTCTAATTTATAAGCGTAGAAATCTTATTTCGATATTAAATAGCTTAATATGAGGTGCGTAGTAGTTTTCTTTATAATAATATTATATAGCTAAATTTAATAGATCTATTAATAATAATAGTAAGATTCGCTAATAGTATTATATAGCTTCGAATATAGCTATAATATAAAATAATTAGTTATATATACTTAAAGTACTTAATTTAAGATTATTATTAAGTATTAATACTCTAAATAATCGAATAATAGATATTAAAAAATAAGGTCTTCGAAGTTAAATTCGAGTATTTATAATAAGTCTTTAGATCTTTAAAAAGATCTCGAAAAGTATTTATTCGCTATTCGTCTATTATATTCTTATAGAAATCTCGCGTATTATCGATCTTATTTATAGTTATATTATTTAATTCTTAATTTAATTATCTTTTTTTCTTTAACGAGATCTTATTCTTAAGAGAATTATCGAATAACTATTTATTATACTTATTAATAATCTTATTTATCTTATTTATTTTATTAAAAAGTAGATATAAAGCTAGTTTAATATATAATCGATTAAGATTTCGCTATATAAAGCTCTCTTATAACGCACTAGCGTATTTATATAAGTCTTTTATAAAATACTTAATCGAGTAATAATTATTCTAATAGATATTAAATAATAAATAGAAGGCCTTCTTAATATTCTTAAAAAATTGAGTATTAAGAGAAATATATCTAAAGAGATAGTTAAAGTTAAATATAGAATTATATTACTTCTAGAATATAATTTTTATTTTATTATTAAGATACTCGTTAAATAGATTAATTTTTATTTATTTATCTAGTTAACTAGTAATATTAATAAGAGAATTAAAAAGAATAATTTAGGCTAGCTTACTATTAATAGCACTATCTTCGCTATTAGAATTAATATAATATTTTTATTAGAGTATTAATTTCGCGTAATTATAGAAACTAAATTCGTGAAAATATAGATATATTCGATTTAAAGTATAAGAAATTAAGTCGATATTATTTTACTTAATTTTATACTTTAAATAAGATAGAGCTTTATACTTTATAAGAACTTTATATAATTTTAATAAATAATATTCTCTTTATTTTTAGATACTCTAATAAATAGATCGTTTTATATAAAAATTATAATTTTATTTACCTTCTCGATCGTATAAGTAACGAGCTATTTCTCTATTATAGTATAACTCTATTTATTATTATAAGGCGAGATATATATTTAAAGTATTATAATTATATAGGCCTAAAACGAGTATATAAGAAACTTATTAAATATCTAAAAGTTATTCTTTTTAGATAACTCTATATTCTTATAATCTTAGAAATCTTATATATATCGTAGATATAAGAGATTATTAAATATATATATATTCTTTAATTTTCGACTATATTTATTACTCGCTATTATTTTTAAGTTAGAGTTAATATTATTAATCTTTTTTAAATTAAATAATAAAATACTTATCTAATATACCTTATAAATAACTATAAGATAGATTATTTTAATATAAAATAAGATTAATATAAATATTAATTAAGTTATTTAATTATAATTAAAAATCTCTTACTTTATATAACGTTATTTAATACTCTATAAATAAGAGAATATAAGCTAATTATCGTATATAAGACGTAGATTAATATTCTAATAAGAATTATCTTATTCGAGTTTAATTTATTTAAAATAAATATTTTTAAGTATCTTAATATTATCTTTTATAGTACTCTTATTAATATTAATAAGATTAAGCGAGTAACTAACTATTTTCTATAGAGCTAGTTTATTAATATAAGATATAAAATTAATTAATAATAATTAATCTTTATATAACTATTTTTATTATATAAAGAAAGCGTTATAAATAGCGATATTTATAAAATAATCGATATACTAACGCTATTAGTCTATAACTTTTTTATTATTATAAATCGTTAAAGAGATTAATTTATTTTTTAGCGAACTTCGTTCTTATATAATCTAGATATCTTTAATATATAAAATATATATAGAGATTTAGAATAGTCTATTATTAAGACTCTAAGTCTATAGAAAGATATATTATCTTTTTAAATTATATAATTAATAATTATTAACTTTAGCTTTCTATTACTATTTATTCTCTATTTCTTAACTCTTTATATTTATTCTAGATTATTATATTAAATATAATAATTATTAGAATAACTAATATACTTAATTACTTTACTATTTAAATCGCTACTTTTCTTAATATATTATAGAATTTCTTTATAGAAAATAATTAATCTAAGCTAATTATAAAGCTTAAAAACTAATTATTTAACTCTACGCGAATATATAAGAATATTTAATTGAGTAGGAATCGAATTAGTCTTAATCTTTTACTATTAAAAATATATAATATTAAAAACTATTATAATAGAATTAAGTTAAGATTATAGAGATTTTTTATTCTTCTTTATATATTAAGATTATATTATAATTAATAAAAATTAATTAATATATAATACTTTCTTTTTAATAGCCTTTAATAGCCCTTTTAATTTTATATTATAAAGCTTCTTTAAATTAATATTCTTATTTTATCTCTTAAAAAGATCTAAGTTATTAATAATAAGAATCTCTTTTTATAGCAACTTTGAAATTTACTCTATTCTTTCTAGCGAGATCTTTTAATAACTTAGTTAAATACGTTTAATAGATTTATTAGTTAAATTATTCTTTAGTATAATATTAAATAAAAGATTAACTTTAATATAAAGTTTTACGAGAAAGTTATATTATAGAAATTTATTTTATATAAGATTTTTTTAATAATAATCTTATATATCTTTTATTAAGTCGTAGAGACTTAATTCTAACTCTTTTATTATATTTATTATATTCTAAATCTTTCTAATCTTTATCTTTTTTATCTTTCTCTTTTTAGCTATACTAATTATCTTCGATAAAATATTACTTCTATTTCTCTCTTTAGAGCGAGACGTAAATATAAAGAGCTAGAAGACTATTAGCGAATATTTAATAATAAATAAAATAATTAAAGATAAGATCTACTTAATAAGATCTAGAGATTTTTATTAAGATCTTATTAAGACCTCTTCTTAATAAGATCTCTTTCATATTTAAACTAATTATTCTTTATTAATTTATCTTCTTATCTTATTAATCTTCTAATTAATTATAATTTTTTTTCTCTTTTTATTTAATATTATTTAAATTAGAATTATTATATATAACGAGTAAAGGCCTATAAATTAAATTCATAATTATTTTTTTAATTAGGGCTATCGAGTAAGTAGATAAGCGATCTTTAATAAGCGAACTTTAGTAAGCGATATTTGAATTCCTTGCGCTTTAATAATTATAAGACTAAATTTTAAAATTCTTAAAAATTCGAAACGCGTAAATAGCGCTTTAAAATTTAAAAAAAAATCTTAAAATTTTAATAGAAAATAAAAAAGTAGTTCTATATATTAATAATATACACCTATTTTTTTAATAAGAGAGGCGTAGAAGAGCGAGATTTTAATAATTACGGATGCTAATTTATTTACTCGCGATAATTTAGTCGATTTAATTAAAGAGCGTAATAACTCTAAATTAATAATTAGTTATATATATAAATTTAAGATTTTTAAACTTAGCTCTATCTTATTCTATTATATATATTAATAGATTTATTATACTCTATTTTATTATATTATTCTTCTAGATAAATCTTATATATAAAGATCTATTAATAAATTATTTAATAATATATTTCTAATATAGTTTAATTATTTAATACGCTATATATAGAAAGTATAATTATAAAGCTTTATTATTATTTTAAATTTTTTTATATAATCTTATATAAGAAGATTTTATTAAAAATTCTTAAAGTAAAGAGAAATATTACTTAAATTCTAATTTTCTTTAATAAAAAATATATTAATTACTAATAGATCTAAAGTTTAATATTTCTTACTATTTTTTTAAAATTATAATATTAAGATAATTAAGTAATATTTAATTAGATCGTTTATAATAATAACGTAAATCTTTCTATATTTAAAGATATTTTTTTTTATATTTTATATATTTATTAGAGACTTCGATGTTATATAAGATATTCTTATTTATTAATATCGCCGCTATTAATATCTAACTTTATATTAAAAGAATAAATTATCTTCGCTTCGCTCTCCGCTCTACTCTTCGCAAGTTTAATCGCTTATTTATTTATATATATCGCTATAGTAATACTCTACTTACTTACTTACTTACTTATTTACTTACTTACTTACTTACTTATTTACTTACTTACTTACTTACTTACTTACTTACTTACTTATTTATTTATAAGAGTTATCGCGACGATAAGTCGTCGCGATAATAAGTATAAATAAATAAATAAATAAGTAAGTAAGTAAGTAAGTAAGTAAGTAAATAGAGTATCGCCGCGACGACTTATTATCGTAGCGACTCTTATAAATCTAATTATTTAAAAAATAGAGAGAGATTATAATATCTAATCGAAGTAATAAATTAATTAATAAGATTATATATTTTCTCTAATACGTCGTATTATCGATTTAACGAGTATTATAATAATTATCTCGAGAATTAATATATTATAAAGAAATTTCTATATAATACTACGCGTTTATTAAGATATATAATATTTTTAAATATTAATATCGCTATTATAACTAAGTTAATTAAGTTTTTTAATAAAATAAAATTAAAAGTTTACTTCTTAATTATTATATTATAATTTAATTTAATAAAAGTCTATTTAACTATTTATTTAACTTTTTTTAAGAATTTTAAAAAAGGCTATATTACGTAGTTACGCATTTTTATTAAGAATTATATATACGCAGGATATAAATATTATATATCGGGCGATACACCAAAAAATTAAGTCTTGGCAGGGTTTCCCACTCAGACCCACCTCAAGGCCGGTGGGGCCAAGCTGAGACTAATGGTTTTTGAGGTCGGCAAAGATGACGTCGATAGGGGTGAAAAGCACTTGACCAGCGCTGTAAGCAAGTACCTGGCCCATAAGCCTGTTGCCATGTTTTCGAATCACCCAAGCTCCAGAATCTCCTACAACGTCCGAGGATGATATATGCTGCCACTCTGAGCTAAGAATCGTCCATTCATGTGTGATGGAGCCATCTCTGCTCACGAGCATAGGTATGTTCACCTCTCCACTTCTGTGGCCGCTTCCTTGGCCAACATAGTAGACGGCAATAGCCGACTCAGCGTTACACGTCTCATGGCAGATGTCTGTAGGTTGAATGACGTGGGCTTGTTTGTCAATGTAATCTTCATCCATTGCATCTTGATTGGACCGATAGATGAATGCCAATTTCTTAAAATCTGAGTTCGAATAAGCTATGAGACTCTTTGGGACCAGCAGTCATGCCTACCTTCAGTTTCCCGAATAGCCAAAAATTCTGCCGGTTTACTATTAGACAAAACAAGTTCATGGACTGGGGTCTCGGTGTAGGGAGCCACAGGAGCCGCAAGAGCCATCATTGGAAATGGGTATGGACTGCCCATCCCTAGGTTCATGTTTCCTCGTTCCACATAGTAACGATCACCTTTGTCCGCGAAAGGTTCATCCGGTTCAGCAACACCAATTTGCAAGGAATTCAACAATAAATATACTTTGCTTCAGCAGTTACCAGTACAGCTTTCATATCAGAGCACAGCTTACCAGAAGAAGAATCGACACCCCTGACCACGCGCATCATCGTCATCGTCATTACCGCCGCCGTGGCCGTGACCAGCATGACCAGGCCCCCGGCCTCCGCTCAGGTCTCCCAGTGTGGCGAACTTTTTCTTTGGCGCTTGCGTTGCGGGTGAGGACAGAAACCCGCGGGAAGAAGGTGGCATAGGCTGTGGAGCTGACGATGGAGGGTTTGAAGCGTCTGGAGCCTGAGCCTCTTCATCTATTCCCTCGGCGCGGTTGAAGTATTCAGTGATTGCGGACCCTAATTCCCATGAGCTATTTGCGAGGTACTCTTGAGCCTGTTGTTGGAACATGTCAGCTTAAAGCTTCTGGTATGAGAAATAGCCAGGTGCAAATCACCACTTGTGGTGTCACTCCAGCCAGAGCCACAAACTCTGAGATGAGTGCGTTATGGTCGGGTTGCACTTTGGCTATAATCTCAAACGGTATTTGGAATGGACTGTGTGATAAATATAAGAAGTTGATAGTTAATAGTAGAACGCTTTTATCGACAAAGATGTGTGTATTGAGGTTCGAAGATAGTAGATAATCGTATGGGAACACGTTACACTTAGTATGGGCCACCTTAACGCTAAGGCCACCCCAATATCAATTTTTTCAATAATTTAAACTATTTATCCCTTATCTATCTATTATAATTATAATTATATCTAACTCATATATCGTTATTTAAAAATATATCTAGAAGGCTTTAGTTACTATTATTCTCGAAATAAAGCTTAAAATTACTTAATTAACTATTAAATTTAACGTACTCTATAATTAGCTCCTAAATCGCTATAATAAAATCTCCTTTAAAGATAATTACTCTTACGCGCTTATAGATTATAAAGAATAAACTCTTTATTAATATATATAACGACTCGATAAATTAAGAATATTTTATTATCGTTTAATACTTAAAAAAGCTATAAACTCTATACTTCGCGAGCGCTTTAGCCTTATTAAGTATATAAATAATTATTAATTCACGCGATTTTTAAAGTATAATTCTTAATATAAAATATATAAATAAAAGTCTTTTATAACTTAATAAAAGAATATATATAAATTAGAAGTTATCTAGAATTAATTTTAACGTTTTTAAAATATTTATTAAGAGTTTAAAGTATAAATAGAGAATATCTATAACTTTAACGAGATTAAATTTCAAATTAAAATAAGTAAAAGTTAATAAGTTATTATAGAAGAAAGAGAATTTTTATTTTATTAAATAAATATAAATAATAGAGAGTATATTATATTAATTAAGTATATTAATAATTTAGATTATACGCTTTCCTTAATATTAATTTTAGCTAAAAAATAATATCTTAATAATTAATTTTAAGAGAGCCTTAATTTTAATACTCTATAAGATATTAATAATATTAAATACGTAAATAATAATCTATATAAGACCTAAATTAAACATTTTAATTATTTTATAAAGAGAAGATATATGAGAATATATAGATTATTACTATTTAATAACTATAATAGTTATCTTACTAGAGAAATACTTAAATATATAAAGAATAATAATATTATTTTATTCTATTTACTCTTATACTCTTTATATCTATATTAGCTATTAAATATAAATATCTTTTAACTATTTAAATACTAATATATCGAGATAATTAATATCGTAATATATTAAGTTAGCGATAACTATTTAAAACTCGATTTTTTAGCTAATTTTTAAGTAATTTATAATTAAATCTTTATTAGATTAACTATTATATCTAAATAGCGAGAAATAAACCTTTTTCTCTATAATCCTACTATTATTTTAAATTATTTAGCTAGATTTTAGCGAAGAAACTCTTCGCTAAGAAATAAGACTTTAGAGTAAGAGATACTTAATCTTAAAGACTAATTAATATTATATACTTATTATCAAATTATATAATATAAAAAGAAATTATAAAATATATATTTAATTAATTAATCGCTTAATAAATATATTTATAAAATAGAAGCGAAGATACTTTTAGATCTTCTTATTAAGCGAGAATTAAATATTATTTAATAGATTATAGTAATCTAAGTAGCTTATAAAGCAGAGTTTAATACGATAATTTAAAAGAGAGATATTATCTACTCTTATTAGGCTCGAAATAAAATTATTATATATAAGAAAACGAAGGTTATAAAGACTTTAAAGGCTTTAAAGTAAGTAAATATCTAAGAGTCTCGAGTATATAATATACTTAGAAATAAGAAGATTAAGTAATTTAAGGTTACTATAACGAGAACTAAATAATTAATTAAGATTAAAAGAGTTAGAGAGATTAAAATAGATAATAATAGTTTATAGTATATATATATATAGATAAATAAATAAAATAATTAGAAAAATTCGTATTGAGGCGGCCTTAGCGTTGAGGTGGCCTATATTAAGTATAATATATTTTCATACGATTAAGACTATACTTATTTCCACTCTCATTTATATATTACCTCTATTTGCACGCTATTAAATTCGATAAATTCGATATAGATAGCTATTACTACTATGGCTATTACTATTATTACTAGAGAGTATAAGAAGTAAGTAAGATAACTAGATCGAATTTAAATATAGCTTCTCCAGTATTAAATAGCTATATTTCTATTTATTTTATACTATTTAACTACTATATTATTAATTTAATATCTTTATTATTATTATTTACTAGCTAAATATATCGCTTAGATATTTTATCTACTCTAGCCTAGATTTCCTTTAGAGAAATCTCCTTTTACTTCTCGAGAAGAACTCTTTTTAAGTTATCCTTTATCTTTTACTTCTTTCGATATATTTTTTACTTAAAGATATTTTATATAGTCTCTATAGGATTAAGATTTAATAATTAAGCTAGATATTCTAGAGTCTTAATATTATACTTTTATTTATACTCTTATATATAGTTTATAGCTAATTAAGTACTATAACTTAGATTATTATTCTTTTAAAGAATATACTTTCTATTAATTTTTCGCTTATCTTCTTATATCTCTTTAAGATATAATAATAGAATTTTCTTTATATAGAATAACTAAGTTATAGAATTTCTTTTTAATTATACTTCGATATTATAAGACTTAGCTATAGTCTATTATAAATAGCGTTTACTCTAATAGAATTACTCTTTAATCTTATTCTTTTATTATTTTAAAGGCTATTTTCTCTTAGAGATATTTATTTATATATTAATATTTAACTTTAAAATATTATTCGAATTATTATAGAATTATAACTTACTTTTATAATAATAGAAGATAAAGATTAATATATATAAAATAACTCTTTTAAGTAATAGTATTTTAGCTATATTTTTAAGAGTATAGCGTTAATCTAAACTCTTCTCTTTAAGTATATAATCTACTTCTATAATAGTAGAATCTATATAAATCTTATTTATCTAATTAATAAAGATTTAAAATTACTTTATTATCTTATCTTTATAATTATACCTATAATCCTATCTAATTTTCTTATTTAACTAAGAAATCTATTTAATTTTAATCTTCTTATATAGTCTAGTATTAGATCTTCTTATTTAAAGCGAGTTTTATAAATATCTAATAGTATATTCTAAAGAGAAGATTTTAATTTATCGTTTATAGTCTTCGTTAATATATTATTCTTTAGATCTAGTATATCTATAAGCTTTTTATTCGATATTTTATATAGTCGTTTTATATAAAATATACTAGTTCTTCGATAGATTACTTCTAAAATAATTTAACGTCGTTATCTAAATTAAAGTTCTTCTATAGAGAATTTAATCTTCTTCTTTTAATACACTAATCTTAGTGACTTAAGGCCTCGAGAATCTACTATCTTAAATAACTCAGTCTTCTTAACGGTATCGCCCTTACGACGGCTTATTTTTAAAGTCTTTAGCTTACGAGGAGTATGTGATAGGGCTATTATATATAGAAATAAATGTAAGAATAATAGGAACAAATAAATGAAACAAGCGATGTTGCCTCGGTTGCAGTTCAAATTCGGCCTAGTTACCTTACTCACTTCTTGCACCCCCTGATGCCACTCATTCAAATGGCCTACCACCATAGTCTACCATGATGGCCAATGCTACGGTATCATAGTCGCCATCTGTAGGTCTGGCATAGTAGGTATCACCTCGGACCAGCTATTTTTGAAGACACGAAGAGAGGTAGAAGTCCTGTTAAGAAAAAGGCTACTGTATCTCCCACACTAGGCCCACTGATGCCACTAAATCTCGCTCTATCACAGCAATAACAGCGAGATAGATAAGGAGCTACTCCGCCACAGTGGCGGGCTCTATCGGCTCCACCAAAGGCTTTATTAGAGGCTTCACCGCAGTAAGGTGAAAAAGATGGAAGAGGTGAAAGAGGTAGAAGAGTTAGAAAAGGTAGAAGTGGTAGAAGAGGTGGAAGAGGTAAGAAGGTAGTAGAAGAGGAGGTAGTAGAAGAAGAGGTAGAAGAGGTAGAAGAAGAGGTAGTGATGGTTTTTTCAAGATATAGTAGGCCGATAAGGCTCAAAAAACGATAATTTGAGTTCTTCGATCTTAAGTCTAGATAGAAATAAAAGATCATTATTAATTATGCTAGTTTGCTATACAAATTTAGTAAAAGATAGATATTTTAATATTACGTCGAGTTTATTAATTTTAATAGCGTATAAATAAGAGTAACGTATAAATAAGAATAAAAACGAGTATCTAATATATATTAAGAGGCTTATATATAGAGCTAAGTTATAAGACTAGATTATAAAGCTATATTAAGAAATTTAAAGTAGATTATAACTTTTATTAGAAATAGTAATAATTAATTCTATACTACTAGCGATCTAGTAATAATATCTACTTTATATTTCTATACTCTTATATATTCTTAGTCTTAGTAATTTAAACTCGCTTAATAAAATATTCTATAATTAGTCCTATACTCGTATCTCGCTTCGAGAATTAATTATATCGTAAGCTTATTCGATATACCTCTCTCTTAGAGTCTAAGTAGAAAACTCTAAAATCGCTATATTAACCGTTATTTTATATGAGATTCTTATAATAATTAATCGAAATACGAAATTTACGACTTTTAATATTTTTTCACAATTACTATATAATTCTTTAAAGTTAATTACGAAGAAAATAAATCTATCGAGATCGCTAATTAAGTATTTAAGTCTTTTATTAGAATTAAATAACTTATTATTATTATATAAGCTAATTTAAAATTACGATCTTCGCTAATATTTATAATATCTATCTTTAATCAACTAAGTTCTATTAGAAAAATTCTAGACGATAGTATATTATATTTAATATTATTAAAAGATTATATAACGAATCGAGTTAAGAAATTATCTAAGTAGATTTATTATATTACTCTTAATTAGAAAGTCGAATACTCGAAATACGCTTTTTATAGAAATATATATTAACTCGAATACGCTTCGCTTAGAAGTTAAAGAAATTATAATATATATATCTTAAATAATATTAACGCGATTAATATATCTAGAACGAGCTTATATAAATATAAAATATATTAGAAATACTTAGATACTCAACTTTCTCTATAGCGGCGACGACGAGATATCTTTAAACTTTAAATATTAATCTCTCTATATCTTATAGTAATATTCTTTCTCTATATAATAGCGAAGTTTAAAAACTTTTAATAATTTAGATTAAAAGAAATTTAAAAATTTATATATTTAATTTCTCGCGTACGAAAGTACTTATTAATAATAGTCTCTATATCAAGGAAATGAATGACTGGGTTATGAATTCATGGTGTGGTGTAAAAGATATTGATTATTCTATGTGCCTGCAGGGCAGATATGTGCGGTGCCAAGCCACGCTAGGCCCAAATGGGTGGTGGCTCTGGAGGAGGCCTTGGCGTACCGTGACAACATGCCCGCAAAGAAAGAAAAGAAAGACACGTCCTCGTGGCCTATGCTATTGACCAATCAGAATGTATCGTTGCTACTGGCCGTGATGCTTCTGATTCGCCTCCTCATCTTCCTCATAGATCGTATAGCTATTCGGTGGGACGTCAGCGAGATATGCGTGGCCTTTGCTTGCTGATCATAGTAATTTGGCTGTAATCGTCGTAGTAGATCCTTCTCTTGTTTGCTTCTTGCAGTGATGTGCCACACTAATGTGATATTGCCTAGGCATGCAGAGATAGCAGGCCAAATTGTAGTGTCGTTCTCCGCTTGCTGAGTGGCGATCTGACGTGGGATCGTGGAGAGTATATAACGTGGGATCTTGGAGAGCTGAGCCGTTTTCTTGATGATGGTGGCCTTGTTGTCGCTTGATTTCTTCGCAGTGTTCTCCGTAATTGCCTGTAGTGGTTTCTCCTCTTGCTTAACTGAGTGCTCTGGCTGAGTGGCTGACTGAGTGGGTTGATGTGAGACCGTGGAGAGTAGGCCTGTTGTGTCACTGCTGCTGCTGACTGTCTCCGTAATCTTCTTCGTAGATTTCTCCGCAGTTTTCTCCATCTTTGCCTGTTGTAATGGCCTATATTTCTGTTCCTGCTCTTGCTGTGCCGGCTTTGGCGCTATGATTGACTGCTTTTGCTGTGGCTGCAGTGGGTCGAAATGCTTGTCGATTGTCTGGCGAAGTACTACTTGAAGCGCTGGTAGAAGGATATTCGTGAAGGCGTGGTTTTGCTCTGCCGTGAAGTCGCGAATTATTTGGCTGTTGGAAGATATGATGTAGATGTCAAATGGCCTATTGAAAGGATTGACTTGGTTGGTTAATTTTTGCGTAGACTGAATCTAGCTGCGTAGCGGAGCGCGGGGGCTGATTGTCGGTATATCGTGACTGCGGGTTGAGTGACGGTATAGACGACTTGGGAGGACCTGGGTTAGGTGTTGCTACCAATTGTCAAGGAAATGGATGACTGGGTCATGAATGTATGGTGTGGTGTAAAAGATGTTGATTATTCTATGTGCCTGCAGGGCAGATATGTGCGGTGCCAAACCACGCTAGGCCCAATTGGGTGGTGGCTCTGGAGGAGGCCTTGGCGTACCGTGACACTCTACGAAGGCTCTATAATATCTTTACGAAGGTCTTATGAGTTCTAATTTAGATCTAAACAGAGATATTTAGCTATTAAGCGTAGATATCCTCGAGATTAAACTTTTTTAGCTGAGTTGCTAATAGTACTATAGGACGGATATTACTTTAGCGATTTTATAAAATTCTAAAAAACGAGTAGCGGATTAAGCTCTTTCTTACTCTTATTATAGCGATATTCTAAATATCGCGAAAGTGCGAAGAAGTAAAGTAGTTGTTATAACTTTAATAGTACCTTATATACTTAACTATATATCTCGCTATAAAAAAAAAAGGCTATACTTAACACTTAGCTCTACGACTAAGATTTAGTATCTATATATACGCAGGGATAAATATCTTATATCAGTCAAACCACCAAAAAAATGAGGCTTGACAGGGTTTCCTACTCAGACCCACTGCGTAAGGCCTTTCTAAGACTAATATATTCTACTCCTTAGAGCATTCATCTAGACGGCCAAGTGGCTTGTTATTCAACAGCTTTGATATAGGCCCAGCCTTGGCGCAAGGCTCCTCAGATTAGTAATCCCACTCTTGTGCGACGTCTACTAAAATTACACTGACCCGACAAGCTGCCTCAAGGCAATTTCGAGGTTCCATCGTTCGGTCTAACATCTACCTCTGGTCATCGGTATCGGCTCTCTCCTTTATCTTGACGGCCAACGCACGGTAAAAGAGAAGGCACTGATACATTTCGCGCTTGAATATACGGTGGGCAGACATTCAGGCTCCAAGCCTTCAAGTGTTAGAAAAGGGGCTTGTGGGTCCTAAGCGAGAGGACTCTGAATTACTTAACTTACGTACGCCTGACGTACGCTTAGCGAAGTCTTGGCGGAGTCTTGGCGGATAAGCTTAAGCAAGCGATCCCCCCGAGTTTCCTTTGCTTGCTTAAGAATTAGTTTTACTACCAGATCGATATACGAATATATCTATCTTTCTAATTCCACATTGCTACATAACTCTAAGGCTCTTCGAGTCTAACATCAAGCGTCCGCTGAATACGATGGCACACAACAACAACTCAGCCCAACCTACTACAGATGATTTACGACGGAAGTCATGTCCAGATCCGCAGCAGGCTTCTGACGAGGCTGATGAAATTTTGCGGCAAGGGATTCAGCATGATCATTTCGAAAACCTTCAGCAGTTTGTCACAGAATTCAAAAAGGTCATTCCAGGGCTCATCGCCAAAAATCCCAAGTATGATCGGGTGAAGGTGCTCCTTTTTTACTGGGAAGATGGAGAACCGGACATGAAAAAAGAAGCAAAGGGCTTGATGAACATTTTCCACGATGGTTATGGATTTGCCGTCGAAGAATTCATAATACCCGCCAACGAAAAAGCGGACTCAAAGTTCATGCTTTTTCTTATAGCAGAGATCGTAAAAATTGGGGATGAGGATGGGGAAAATAAACTCCTGATCCTTTATTACGGCGGACATGGCGAATGGGACAAGGAGCACAACACCCACCTCTGGAAACCGGTTAGAGAAAAGAATCATAGGTTGTCTGAAGTGTCTATACCGTTAGAAGGCGTGCGTTGCATTCTAAAAACCGCAGGATGCGACCTATTATTGTTACTTGACTGCTGCTTTTCATTGGCCATGATGGGCGACGATTTTGCCTGCAAGCGCCGTACCTGGCTTCTTGCGGCTGCTGGAAACGTTGAAAAGGCTGGTGGCACACCTGGAAAGACCTGGACCGCTGCTATTACTCATGAGCTTAAAGGACTGAAAGATTCTGGTGGTGTGAGTGTTTCCCAGCTTCATGACATACTTGTCAGGTATGATAAGATGCAGGGGCAACACAAGCTCTCGGCAACACCACACATTCGGCGCTGGTCTGCCCCATCCTGGCCAAGTGATATATTCATAGAGGTTCACAAGGAACAAAGCGAAGGGAGAGGTGTACCAAACGTCACGAAACAGCCGCAAAAGTTACAAACAGACGCCAGAATGCTGATAAAGATTGCTTTCAGAAATCCGGCAGACGAGCTAAAACGAAGTCTCTGGGAATACTGGTTCAGGGGTTGCCCGCCCAATTTCTCCGATGTTGAGCTTGCCATTTCGAAGCAAATTGAGGTCGTGCACTTGTTTGAAGCTAACTCTTGTCTCCTCCTTGTGACGATGCCGTGCAGTCTCTGGGCTTTCTTCCCACCTCATCCAGCCTATGATTGTATTGGCATGGTTCGTGCACCAGATGATATTGTTACGGATATCTTCGCTAGGAGTCCCGATTGGGTTATCTTCCCACCTCATCCAGCCTATGATCGCAGTGGCATGGTTCGTGCACTAGGTGGTATTGTTACGGATTCCTCCACTAGGCGTCCCGATTGGGCTTAGTGCCTTGGCACTGCGGCACTGCAGAGACTTCTTCTACTGCAGGCCTCCTGTAATTCATCTTTATCACACCACACACATATATGATTCATGCATATGATTCCACTTAGGACTATTCCTTAACAATAGTAGCAACACCTGAAGATCATTCAACAGGCGTCTATTGAGTTATTCCGCTTACCTCGCCTTCGTCTAGCACCTAATCGGACCCTACAACACTCACTGCCGGAGAAATCTACAGAGAACACCACTCCCACCGAATATAGTATCTCCAGAGTCTCTTAGACGCCCACCTCGCCTTCGTCCAGCACCTAATCGGACCCTACAACACTCACTATCGGAGAAATCTACAGAGAACACTACTCCCACCGAGTGTAGCATCTCCAGAGTCTCTTAGACGCCCACCTCGCCTTCGTCCAGCACCTAATCAGGACCCTACAAATACTCGTCTACAACGATCCTTTCACTAGGCTATTCGTCCTACCACCATGACGTACCCTATGCCAGGTTTTACAGCAGAGCAAACAGCCTCCCTACAAGCCATGATCACTGCCGCAATCGATGACGCAATCAGTCAGGCTATGCCAGCCTTCGAGACCAGACTAACAGCTTTCGAGACCAGACTGACAGCTATTGAAGCCAAATTCCGCCCTACTGAGTACCAAGTTACCGCTCCTCAGCATAGGCCATGGCAACAGTCAATTGTGGAGAAAACTGCGGAGAAACCTACGGAGAAAACTGCGGAGAAGCAGAGCATCGCCAGCAGCAGCGACAATGACAATACGGGCACGCTCTCCACTATTCCACACCAGGCTACTATGCACTATTGCAGAGAGTCTTCCCCTCGCCACAACGGTGCTCCATTTTCTACTCTCGCCTCTCAACTCGCCTCTCAACTCGCCTCTCCACCTGACTACATTCACTACGGGAAAGGCATGGAGGCTACAGGCCAAGGATAGCTAGTGGATTTCAGAGAGGATTCAGGAGAAGCAGGCCTACGGCATATGGTGTATCTCTGGCGTCTCCATGTCTGCAGCGAGGACGCTGTCATTTTTCTTCTTCGGTGGCATTTGTTACGGATTCCTCCACTAGGCGTCCCGATTGGGCTTAGTGCCTTGGCACTGCGGCACTGCAGAGACTTCTTCCACTGCAGGCCTACATAGTTCATTATTATCACACCACACATACATTATTCATACATATGATTCCACTTAGAACCATTCATTAATATTTAGCATTAAAGTAAAAGATTTTAAATTTAATAAAGAATAATAAAGTTAAAGTTAAAAGAGATTTAATAGAGAATTTTAAGACTAAATAAATTTAATAGAAGATCTTAAAATTAAAATAGATAATATTATTATTATAGAATATAATAATATAAAAAGATTTTAGATAAAATAACTAGTTAAAAGATTAGAGTAATTAATTTAAATATTAACGCTTAAATAAAGTAATTTTTAATTTATAAGAGAATAAATAAAGAGATAAATAAGAGAATAAGTAAGAGAATAGATTATTATATAAAGATTATTTAATTAATAATTATTATAGTTATTAAATTATATCGAATAAGATAAATTTTCTAAATTTCTTATACTCTTAATTACTCTTTATAATATAAATTATTTTACTTCTTATTATATTCTACTTTATAATTTATTCTTACTATATTATTTATTTTTATATTATTAAAATAGTAATTTTCGCTATCTCTAAAATTAAAATATTTAAAAATTAATCTTTCTTTTAGAATAATTAAACTATATTTAATTTTATAAGACTCTTTAATATAGATAAAGTTATTCGTATTTTTATAGATATAGCTAATTTCGAGATATAGAGTAAAAATAAGATTTACTATATATTTAAAACTTTAGATAAAAAAAAAAATTTAAATAATAAAAAAAAATATATATATATATAGATTATCTTACTAGAATTAGTATAGATATAATATTAATATTAATATATTAAATAAGATAATTAAGATATCGAATTATATAGATAAAAGAGAGATATTAAATAGTAGATAATATCTCTATTAAGATATACTAGACTCGAATAAGTAAGAGAGCTAAGTAATATATTAAGAATATAGAATATACTTATAATACTATTCTCTCTCTTTATAAAATTATATCTTATAATTAATAAATAGAAATATAGAAAAATAAATATATATATACGCTTAATATCTAAAAAATGATAAAAGTAGTATAGAAATAATCGTTTCCGAGAATTATAGTATTATATCTTTTTTTATAAGAGATATTAAAGACGATAATAGCTCTTTATACTTACGCTATAATAATAGTATTAGCTAAGATATAAATATATATAAAGAGTCTAGCTAGAAGAAAATCGATATAATATAATAAAAATAATATCTATAGATATAGAGGTAATTAGTAATAATTTTTAAATCTATATCTAAGTAAATAAAATATTAATAAAATAATACGATATAATTAATCGAGGGCTCTTAAACTAAATCGAGTCGTAGATACTAAGAACTCTAATTTAATATTAAGTAAGTTTCTTTATAAGATATTATATAATCGATATCGATAGAGGTTATTAATAGTAATAATAAGATTTATAGATAACGTATTATAGCTTTAAAAGATACTTAGATATCTATTAATAAGAGAATTCTACGCGAAAGGCTCTATATAATATAATTTATAATCGATATAAACCTAAGAAATCGATTCTTAGATCAAAAAAATAAGGCTATTACGAAGATATCGAACGATTTTAATTTAATTAAAAACGAGATATTTGAGATAGCTCTATTATTTTATAAGTTAATTCTTTATAGATAAGACTCTTCGAAATATTATTTATAAAAATCATTTATTAGATCTTAGTAATTTTCGAATTTATCGCTATTCGCATTATATTAGATAGAATTATTATTAAGATTTTTTTATTTAACTTTATACTTAAGATAACTATAAATTAATTTAGAGATAAATATTTCTTTAATAATTTATTTAATTTAATTATTAATAATAATATATTTTAACGAAGAATTCATCTATTCTAATAAGAGATTATTTATCGCGAGATTTAAGAGATTAAGATAAAAGACGTCGTAGATTCTTATAATTAACGAAAGTTTTAAATAATATAAGATTTTTATAAAGCCTATAATCTTAAATAAATTAAGTCTCTTATAGTTTAGTTTACGAGAAGGGCGATTAAAGATAATATTCTTATTACTTAAAAAGATCTTATTATCTATTTAAAAAGTAATCTTTTATTAATACTTATTAACTTATATAACTATAGCCTTCTAAACGCGATTTATATTACTTTAAATATATTTAAGAACTTATTTTATATAGTTCGTAATATTCTTTATTTAAATAGTATTAAGACGTTTATAAATAATCTCGTAGTCGATAGTATTCTAATTAAAAGTTATTTAAAAATAAAATCTCTTATTAATAAGAAAAGATAAGATATTAATAATTAATAAAATAGTATTATTATTAATAAACTTAATAATAAATAGCTATCTTATCTAGTCGTTCTATATATAATTATAATATATTTAAAGATAACGCTTTATATTCTAATTTACTCGCTTAATTTATTTATCGATTTTAGAATAAAAGACTATTAATAGCTTAATTATAATATTTAATCTTTTATAAAAAGACTTTTATATAATAGCTATAAATTAAAAGTCTTAATTCGATATTATTAAGATTAATAGATTATATAGATAAAATATTTCTTTAAGTAGTAAGTTAATTATCTTCTTAGCGATAATATCTTTATCGATATCGAAATAGATTATATAGTGATATTTCTTAGTAAATTAATCGATTACTATTTAAATAGCGTTATAGTTATTAGATATAGATAAGTCTATAACGAAGTTAATTAATATATCTTATTATCGTTTTTATAAGATTAATAAAGATTATAATAAACTATACTTTTAATTATAAGGCGCTTTAGCTCTCTAATAGATATAGTAATTCTAAATATATATTATCTCGAGATAGTCGTAGAATAATTAATTATATATCTCTCGAATAATATCGATATATATATTATTAAATATCTATAAACGATTTTTATAATAAAGTACTCTATCTTATACGAAGCATTTACTAAAAGTAATCTCTCGAAACTTATTCTTATTTTCGACGATAGCCTTACGAATTTTTATATAATATTTATCTTTCTTATTAATCTTTATTATCTTATAATAGATAGAGTTATTAATTACATATATATCGATATATTTATTATTTAATTTTAATTAATTAAAAATAAGAATTATTTAATATTATTAGCGTAATTATTTATATTCGAGATTAGTTAATTTATATTTAATTATTTATATAAGTATATTTATCTTAATATTCTAAAGTCTAAATCGATAATAATCTTTATATTAAATTTTAATAATATATCTAAATATCGAGTCTAGCGTTAACTAAGATTTCTTTCCTTAGTAAAATATATTAATTCTTTATAATCGATAAAGATTCTAATAAAGACATCTATATATTTTAGCTTAAGGCGCTAATATTCTAGATAGCGAATAATTATTAATAGTTTCTTATTATAGATCTAATAATTATACTTAATCGAGATTAAGTTTTTATTATAGAAGACTATTGAGTAAAGTACTCTCTTATTATTATATTAAAAAAGAATATCTTTATTAACGTAGTTAAAAGAGTTAGTCTCTAGAATAATCTTCTTTATTTTATTAAAATAATATAGAATTAAAGCTTTAATAATAACGACTTTTAGAAAATAGAAGGCTTCTTAATATACTAGAAATTAATTAAATATAATTTTTCTTATTATAAATTTTATTATAAATTTAACTATTTTAGAGAAGTCTCTAATAAATTATCGATAAAGATTATAAAATTTAATAAAGATTTATATCTCTTTAAGATTAATAGATATAATCTACTTAATAATAATCTAGATTTTAATAAGATTTATTTATAACTTATTTATAGATATTAATAGATCTAGAAATTTAGTTTTCTACATATAGAATTCGCATTTAAGAATATTTATCTAAAGGCCGACGTTCTTTAATTTCTAAAGAATTTATTTAACGTATTAGATATATTTCTTTTTTATCTTATTATAAATAAGTATATTATCGAGATAGATTTAGTAGAAATTATTTAGATACTCGAATACGGAGATCGATATTAAAAGTTCTAGACAGCGCTAAAATACTTAATACTCTTAGTATTCTTGATACTTTCTATATAATTACATTTATTTAACGATAATACTTTATATAATTGCGTATATACTCATTAGCTCGCTCGGCGAAGTCGTATAATCGTATATTACCTCTCTTATAATCTTTTCTATACTCGTTATTACTCGTTATTATCTTTAAGACGTATTACCTTCGTAATATATCTTAATATTTACTCTATTTACTTCTAAATCCTCTTTTAAATAAGCTCGTAATTTTAAAAATATAGTTATTATCTTTCGACTTTCTTATAAGTTCTTAATATATCTTTTTAAATAGTATAACGTTTTATTTATAGTTAATAAAACTTAGTAAGTATTTAAATTCGAGTCTTATAAGTCTTATAATTAATACTTTAAGTATTAAATATATTAATAAAAGATAATTAAGATAGAGAATAATAAGAAGATTTCTATTTATTATATTATATAAATAAGACTTATATATTAGAAGTCTTTATACTCTTTCTCTATTTCTCTATATTATAATTAATACTTTAATATTATCGCTATTATATATTCTATTAATATCGCTATTATATATATACTTCGCATATTTATACTTCGTATATATATACTACGTCGCTATTATATAGAGTATTAATACTTATTAAAATAAAGAATAATAATGCTATTTATGAAATTTGAAAGTATATTAAGCACTTAGTTCTATCTAAACTCTTATCTTAATATATCTAGAACT